GAAAAATTGGGAAAAATTGATTCAAGCAGCAAAATCTAAGGACTTCGCTCTCTTCTGGCGGCTGATAAAGATCTCTCCAACCTCTGGGCCAACACTCCCAGATTGTTATATCCACCCAGAGACATGGGAGAAGCACTTTTGAGACTTATATAAAGGCGCAAATGTGGCCCAGTTGAGATAGAATAGCACACTTGAAGATGTTCCACCATGGTCACCAGTGTCAACTTCCGAAATACACAATTTAATAGCATAGATGAAAATGGGAAAAGCCCCTGGTGAGGATCTGATTCCTCCAGAGGTGGTCAAAAATAATTTAAAATTTTGGGCTCCAGTTCTGGCATCGTTATTCACATATATTGATACTACTGGCTGAATTCTGGAAAACTGGAGATTTGCTATCATAGTCCCCATATTTAAGAAAGGAAAGAGAGATGATCCTGCAAACTACAGGCCTATTAGTCTCCTTATCACAATCTGTAAATTATATACCAGGCACTTATATGGGAAATTTAAAGACTGGCTGGAGCAGGATAAGATACTTGCAGAAGAGCAGGCAGGCTTCAGGGAAGGTCAATCTACCATTGACCAATGCTTGATATTACAATATCTTATTGAAAAATATCAATTAGACATTTTTCAATAAGATATTGAAAATATCTGGTGGGTCTTGTGTGCTCTGGTCCATGGGGTCACGAAGAGTCAGACACAACTTAATGACTAAACAATAAATTGAAAAATATACCTCTGATAAAGCAACCTCACTCCATGTAGCCTTTATAGATCTCAAGGCAGCTTTTGACTCAATATCAAGGGTCAAATTATGGAGGAAACTAGAGGCTTCTAACATTGACAGGCGTCTGCTTCAACTTATTCAGGCTCTCTACAGAAATATCTCACTTAAGGTAAGATGTAGTGTTCATGGCCATCTTAATAATTCCATTCAACCCCAAAAAGGAGTCAAACAAGGCTGCCTTCTGGCTCCACTTTTGTTTAACTTCTACATTGATTCTATATAGTGGACCAGTTTAAAAATATTGACTTTCATCCCCCTAAAATCTCAGGGAGGCATATAATAACATTACTGTATGCCAATGATGCAGCTATCATCTCTAGGACCCCGACTGGGCTTAGAAGAGCATTGCGAAGGTTGTCTATATATTGTGAGCAGGAAGACCTGATAATTTTCAAAAAACCAAAATCATATCTTTTGCCAAAAGGCCAATACAGTGGTGTCCCGCATAGCGAGGTTAATCCATTCCGGATTAACCATCGCTATTCAGAAACATCGCTAAACGGAATAGAAAAACCCATAGGAACGCATTAAACTTCGTTTAATGCGTTCCAGTGGGCCCCAAACTCACCGTTCAGCGATGATCCTCCATAGCGCAGCCATTTTCACGCCCTCGGTAAGCGAGGGCAGGGTGCGAAAACGCTGCATGTGGCCATTTTGGGTCTTCCGGTGGCCATTTTGGAACCGCCGAACAGCTGTTCCCCCGATATCGCAATGCGAAGATCGGCAAGCGAAACGTTTCCCGATCATCGCAAAGCGATTTTTGCCCATTGGAACCATCGGTATGCGGTCGCATTAGCGATCCCAAAAAACGGATCACTATGCGAATTCGTCATTAAATGGTGCACTCGTTATGCGAGGCACCACTGTAATGCGAACATGGATGATAAATCAGCATAGAATTGATCAGATCCATCGATTTAAATATTTAGGCGTCGTTTTCCAAACTAACAGCTCTAGAAAAGCACATGGTGATTATGTGGCATTAAATACCCAGAGAAGTTCTGCTCCAAACTCAACTGAGCACAAACTAGAATCGTGGAATGAACCCAGAGGTGTTATGAAGGATGAATTTTAAAAAAACCCAAACAAACAAACAAAATCTTGCAGTCAAAAGGAAAAACCTTGGTTAATCACTGAGGAAATGTTTGAAATTGTTAACAACATATGAGAACCAAAAGTAAATGGTGGCAGGAAAAGGATCAGAATCCTAAAAACAAGAGATCTCTTCCATAAGATCTAAGAAGTTAAAGTGGAATTTAAATCAAAACCAGAAATGCAACAGGGGAATATACTATTGATCAGGATAAAACAAGGAGATGACCAAAAAATTATACTGAAGAACTATATAAAATAGATACAAGGTGAGAGATTCTTTTAAAGAAAAGGTGTTTGATGAAAACTTGCAATTTTAGAAAGTGAAATAAAAGCTACACTTAAAGCAATTGGAAAAATAAATTAACAGGAGTAGATCAGGAGTAGGCTGGCTGTAAGTTAGAAACAACTTGAAGGCATATAACAACATATACAATTATCTGAAAAATAAGTCATTGAGGTGCTAGTGAGAAACAAAGGGAGCAATCAGACAGTGATAGCAGATCAGGTCTGATCACAGTGGAAAGTGGTGCTTCAGTGGGAATGATCTCCCTTAAACCAAGCCTTCTATGCTTACAGAAATTGCTCCAGTCCAGCCCAGCCCAGCCCACCCCAAAAAGAGAATCCCTGCCACTAGACCAAAATGTCTGGCTTGGGCTCATTCATGATAGCCTTTACATCTTCTGATCAACAGAAAATAATTGGCACCAGTCCGTGCCACAAGAAGTCCAAAATGTGAGCTATTTCTTCATCTGATTGCATGCGAAGTAAATTCTGCAAGGCTAACATTTGTTCACCTCTGGTCTACCACATTCTTGTCTCTAGAAACACATGTCAAAGAGAAATGTGATACAGATCCTCGAGATTCTTCATGGCCAGTCAGTTGTAAAATGACTTCTGATCTTTGTGAAGAAGTGGAAGAAGCAACAGCCCTCCCTTACATTGAGCAGTTTGAAAAGGATGTTCAAGATGAAATTGTTCTCCTGGGCAACTCTGCATTGCAACAGGTCAGAGTGAGGTACCAATAGTCAACTTTCCTTTTTGCTTCTTGTGACAGAGCCAAAATGGTTTTATTGTTTCTTAAGTCTGTAAACTGAAGGCAATGTCAACACTGCCTAGATTAAGGATGGTGAATAGAGATGGACATGAATTGCCAGTTCGCTGGTTTGTGCTGATTCAGTGGACAGCCAAACAAGTGTTCTGAAGTTCCACACCCCACCCCTTGTGGTGGCCACCCATGTAGAAGCAGCATCTCAGCTTCCCTGCCCCATTTTCTCCAGGCTTTGTCCGTGAGTTGGCATCCACTGGAGGGGGCAGGGCGCTGAACTGCAGAACATCTGTTCGACTATCTGCTGAACTGGCATGAACTGCCAAATTGGCAGCCCCTACTTTTAAGGTTCAGGCTTGTCCATGGGGCTTACTATGCACTTCTGAGGCCTAAAGGACATACCTCAGAAAATAAAGGTGGTAGTTTTGTGCCCAGAGGGACTTCCTGACCGCGATCGGGAGTCGGGATCGTTACAGCACCTCTGAATGTTAATTCTTCTCATTGTTGCTGTCAATGTTGCTTGCCTACTAGGCAGACAGAGAAGGGGGAGGGAGAGAGAGAGAGAGAGATGGAAACTTTGTTCCTTATAGAGTGATGCCTTGACTTAAGAACTTAATCCATATTGGAACGGTGGCTGTAAGTCAAAACATTCTCGTCAAAGCAGCATTTCCCATAGGAATGCATTGAAAACTGATTAATCCATTCCAGCTGTTTTTTGTCCTTATGTCAAGGCGCGGTTCCTAAGTCAAAGCATTAGTTCCCATACGAACTAATGCAAAGCCGGTTAATCCGTACTCTACCACTAGGGGGAGAACTTTTTCTTTTTTCTTCTTTTAACCTAAGATGAACTTAGGTCAAAAAAGGGGCAGGAAAGTTTTTTTTTCAGTTTGTAAGTTAAGACACAGTTTGTGACTCAAAGCAATATTTCGCATCCGGAACTGTTCGTAACTCAAAACTTTCGTATGTTGGGGCATTCATAAGTCAAGGCACCACTGTTTTTATATCCATCTGTTTATATATTTTGGGGAAATATATTTGAAAAAATAAGTTTAGAGGTGACTTCAGGAAGTCATTCTGTGAAATGATTCCATTGGGTGACCTCCTGGAATGAAAACTATGGGAAAAGAATATTTTATCAGTGGAAAGTGGCTTAGACACCCGTTTCCATCATCCTCATCTTCTTGGGTAAGTTTTCTTTCAACTTCACTGGGGTTTTCCTTTCTGAGAAATGTTTTATGGCTAGCAGTGCTCCAGTAGAGGTGGAGAAAAGGGCCATAGAAACAGTCTTTATTGAGTTTTTCTCTGTCCTGTAGCTGGTTGCTGTGCAGAGAAGCTTTTCTGAGGAAATGGGGACTGTAAAGAAGGAGGAGGAATTGATCCCTTCCCTGCCATCATCTTTTTCTTGTTTCAGCAGAGCTGTATTAAGTGATACTTTGGATGTAATCACCTGCTTTTTCCTGAGAGTCAGTTCTGTATTTGTTAAAGTGTTGCAGGATGTCTGGACGCAACAGAAGAGAGAGCTGAGTTTCAGGTATGGATAGGTCTCAGGCTATGGGCTGAAATGTAAGGGAGTCATTATGCTTCCCCAGCTGTCCAGGCAGAGAGCCAAATCTCAGGGTGATGTCTTCAAGTCCCATCACAGAGATGACGAAACACAGAAGGATATCAAGCGGACACAGGTAACATCAAGGGAATGTATGACGTATCAAGCAGGCTTTAGATCCAATACAGAAGAAATTTGCTCCCTTGAAGTCTGCTACAGGTGTGATCATCCAGGACTGAGCACAGCAGATGGGCCACTGGGTGCAGCACTACTCTGAACTATATTTCAGAGAGAATGTAGTAATCAAAGAGGCACTAAATAACATCGATTGCCTGCCTGTCTTGGAAGAGTTGGACAGCGAACCAACTTCAGCAGAAATAAAAGCGGCCTTGGATTCCCTCGCCTCTGGCAAGGCACCTGGAAAGGATAACATCCCTGTTGAAGTGCTGAAGTGCTACAAAGAGCTCATCACCACCGAACTGTATGAAGTCTTTCATCTTTGCTGGAGCAAAGGTGGAGTACCACAGGACATGAAGGATGCAAACATCATTACATTGTATAAGAACAAAGGAGACAGGGGCAACTGCAATAACCACCGTGGCATCTCTCTTCTCAGCATTGTAGGGAAGCTGCTTGCCCATGTTGTGCTGAAGAGACTCCAAGTGCTTACAGACAGTGTCTATCCAGAATCACAGTGTGGATTTTGGGCTAATAGATCCACCACTGACATGGTATTCTGCCTCCGACAGTTGCAGGAGAAATGCAGGGAACAACAACAGCCACTGTTTGTGGCCTTCATAGATCTCACAGAGGCCTTTGACTTGCTTAGCAGGGATGGCCTTTTTAAAATACTTCCCAAGATTGGATGTCCACCTTGAGTCCTTAACATCATCAGGTCCTTTTATGAGGGAATGAAGGGCACTATAGTTTTTGATGGCTCAACATCAGACCCCTTTGACATCCGAAGCAGAGTGAAACAGGGCTTTGTCCTTGCACTAACCCTTTTTGGGATCTTTTTTGCTGTCATGCTGAAGCAGGCCTTTGGAACTGCAACAGAAGGTGTCTATCTCCAGACTAGATCAGATGGAAAGCTCTTTAATCTCTCTAGATTGAGACCAAAGTCCAGCTGAAATGCATGCGGGACTTCGTCTTCACTGATGATGCAGCTGTTGTTGCCTACTCTGCTGAAGACCTCCAACAACTCATGGATCATTTTAGCAAGGCCTGCCATGACCTTGGACTAACAATCAGCCTGAAGAAAACACAAGTCATGGGCCAGGGCGTGGACTCGCCTCCCTCTATTACCATCTACCCGCAAGAATTGGAGGTTGTTCATGACTTTGTATACCTTCGCTCAACGATCTCTGATACTCTCTACCTAGATGTCGAGCTGGATAAACGCATTGGCAAAGCAGCTACCATGTTCCTTAGACTCACAGCTTAATAAGAAGCTGACGGCATATATCAAGATCCAGGTCTATAGAGCCTGTGTCCTGAGCAGACTCCTGTACTGCAGTGAGTCCTGGACCCTTTGTGCACGGCAGGAGAGGAAGCTGAACACCTTCCATATGCGTTGTCTCCGATGCATTTTTGGTATCACCTGGCAGGACAAAGTTCCAAATAGAGTAGTCCTAGAATGAGCTGGAATTTTTAGCATATATACATTACTGAAATACCAATGTCTACGTTGGCTTGGGCATGTCGTGAAAATGGCTGATGGTTGGATTCCAAAAGATCTCCTGTATTTCCAATTAGTGCAGGGAAATCGCCCGAGAGAGAGACCACAGCTGCGATACAGGGACATCTGCAAGTGGGATCTAAAGGCCTTAGGAATGGATCTCAACAGATGGGAAACCCTGACATCTGACCATTCAGCCTGGAGGCAGGCAGTGCATCACAGCCTATCCCAGTTTGAAGAGACACTTGTCCAGCAGGCCAAGGCTAAAAGGCAGTCACGAAAGCAGCAAAACCAGGAATCTGGACAGGGGACAGATTGGGTTTGTCTTCAGTGTGGAAGGGATTGTCACTCTTGAATTGGCCTTCTCAGCCACACTAGAGGCTGTTCCAAGTCCTCCATACAGAGCACATTACCATAGTCTCTCGAGACCGAAGGATGCCTAGAGGTACATCAGCAGTGTGAAGCCTGGGATCACCTCCCCAAACCCTTTCTGCCCTGCCTCTAAGATATCACAATGGTCCACCTGTCTGACTTTACAAGTGTCCATCCTCTATTCTCAGGTTTTGCCTCTGAAATCATAGGAATGCTGCTGATTTTGACAACTCTAGGGCTTTGCTCAGGAGATGAAATGTTCACCTCTCTGCTAATCCCTAGGTTACTGATAATTAGACCATGGTGAAACTGAGGAAAGTCACTATGATCAACTGATATCCATTGATTTGAAACAGAAGCTGTGATGCCATTCTAATCAATTGGTTATATTTTTGTAATGGTTTTCCCGATTGTTTTGCTTTTCCTTTGTTTATAGAACTAGGAAGATACTATGTGACAGTAACAGAATTGACATTTAAACTGACCTGATCCAGTCTAACACAAGCTAAATGTTGTTTATCTTGTTTGCATAGCCCTTAGTGTCATTCTGTATAAATCAACTCCAAAGTAAGCAGTAGTGAGTTCAGTAGGTTTCATTTCTGTATTAGTGTGCACACACTTGCAGTCTGAAAAATCTGTATAAATAGCAGGTGCATCATAGTACTATGAAATACAATCATTATGATAAAATCCTTCCGATGGTAAGTCTTACATTTACTGACTCTCTTTATGGAATGAAATACTGATGCCTTTTTTCTTTTTCTGTATCTTTGATTCATGGCTGACAATAAAAGCTAGTTGTTTTACTCTAGATCTCATAGCATTTTCTACCACAATAGACACTGGAATGTTTATAAAGGCTTATCTGTAACCATTGAATACCTTTCCTTAACTGGCAAGGGAGAATTTGAATCCAGATGTAATAGAACATATAGAATTTAATTAGCTCTTAATAGTCACAAGTGGAAGAGATAATTATTTAATTGGGGTTTTACCTTTTTATGGTAGTCTTAATTGATTTGTCGCTTGCCTTCAGGTAGGGACTCAAAGGTATTACATTACTTACATGATACCTTGGAGGTTTCTACCTCTTTTCCCATTTGTTATTCTGTCATTTCCTTCTTCATTTGGACATAACATGGCCTGCAATGGAAAGGAATCTGAATATAAAGGAATTTAAAATTAAGCTGGTAACAGAGAGCATCTTGTTCTGTTGTTGGCACTAAGGTGAATTTGTCTTCTTTGGACTAACTCCTATTTATTCCGGTAACAAGATAGCCCAGTAAATATATGCTATGGTGTGTTTCATCATGAGTGTGGAAACGATTCTGTATTGTGTTAACATTACTATGCAGCTCATTTGCTTTCTGCAAGGTCGTTCTTTTTATACTACTTTTGTGGCCATTAAGGTGTGCATTTTGGGTTGTATTAGACTGGATTAGATTAGATTAAATGTCAGTACTACCACTTAGAGAGGGGCTGGCTGAGTGGTAGGAGGAGTGGTGAATACTGTACTTCCCTAGATCAACACAAGACTCCACCCTAAAAGAACCAGTATTAAGGCTTTTTACTCAAAATGGCCTCTCTGAATTCCACTATATTGGATGCCAACTGGCATGTTTCCAGCATTTCATGGGCAAGGTACTGTAACATGTTGTGGCTTCTCAGGTCCAAGCATTACTTGGACCTGAGAATCCTTGACAGATTGTCAAGATCCATCTCAGTCTGGCTTCAGGCCTCGGGATGGGAGTGAAACAGCTTTGGTAGCATTGGTGGAGGACCTACACTGGGAAATGGATGGAGGAGTACACCTTTGTTGGTTTAGCTGGAGTTCCCAGTGACTTTTGACACCCTAAACCTTGATATCCTTCTGTGTTTCCTCCCTGTGTTGGGACTTGAAGGCATGTTCTGGACTGGCAAAATCAAAAGGTGGTAGTGGGAGATTTTCAGTTCAGTGCCTTGGCTTTTCTCTTATAGAGTCCCTCGTGGTTCTGTTTCATGCCTCATGTTCTCTATCATATACATGAAACTGCTGTGAGAAATTGTCCAGAGTTTCCATCTAATCTCAAGGAACCTGTTTCAATTCTAAATCAATGCTGAATGAGGGTGAACAAACTGAAGCTTATTCCAGGCAAGGTAGAGGTGCTCCTGGTCAGTTGAAAGTCAGACCAGGGAACAAGATGCCAACCTATCTTGAAACAGGTTACAATCCCTCTAAAGACTCAGTTTCTCAGTTTTAGTTTACTCATCAGTTCAGAGAACGTTCAGCCCATTCAAAATACTGCAGCCAGACTGCTGAGCAGGACTGATTACAGACATCCTATAATTGTATTGCTACAACAGTTCAAAGGCTACATGTCTGTTTCTGGGCCCAGTTCAAAGTGCTGATCTATAAAGTTCTTTATGCCTTTGGTCCAGGCTATTTCAAGGACCATATTTTCCCATATATTTGAGGTCTCCATGGGAGGGGATCTTTCTTGTTGCCTTCATAGGCATATCTGGTGAGGATAGGAAAAAGAGAGAACATTTTTGGTTGCTACCCAGGATATGGATTTTCCTTGCCACAAAAGTCTAGTTTGGTCCCCTTCCTTGTTGGTATTCTGCTTACTGGCAAAACCTTTTTTTTCTCCATACAGGCATTATTGAAATGCCTGATGAGAAAGGTGCTTTAGTGAGTGGTGCAATACACAACTGTTCTGTAAGATGTTTTAAACTAGTTTCAAAGTGTTTAGTGTGTATATTTTTGTACTATTAGTATGTGCTTGATCATATTTTAATGTTCTAATTTCCTTTTTTCTCCATACAGGCATTATTGAAATGCCTGATGAGAAAGGTGCTTTAGTGAGTGGTGCAATACACTTAACTGTTCTGTAAGATGTTTTAAACTAGTTTCAAAGTGTTTAGTGTGTATATTTTTGTACTATTAGTATGTGCTTGATCATATTTTAATGTTCTAATTTCCTTTTAGATTTTGTCGTTGTTGTTGTTGTTGTTGTTGTTGTATATGTCTTTTAGTCATTTGTAAGCCGTCTCAGATTCATGTGCTGGAACTAAAGCAGGACAGAAATGAAATGAAATGAAATGAAATAAAACAAAACATAAGGATGCAAGTACATCATAGAATTAACAGGATAATTGCTATGTATACAAACAGTAGTAGTAGACTACATGCACCCTCTCAGTATAAGTTGGAAGCTTTATCTCTATGCTACTATATGCTATCCAATGGTCACCCATACTGGAACAAAATTAGACCATTAACATTTAGTATGAAATTGTTTCTATAGGACAAAAGTTAGTGTTTAACACAGTTGTATGGCCCTTTTCTTATTGTCCCTGCAGTGGATCCGAGATAATTCTCTACAAATATTGGTCCAGATTAAAACTGGGTGGTTGGATTATACCTTATGATAACTGTGATCAGGACATGTTTTATATCAATGGTGTCTCTGTCTGTCTGTCTGTCTGTCTGTCTGTCTGTCTGTCTGTCTGTCTGTCTGTCTGTCTGTCTGTCTGTCTGTCTCTCTCTCTCTCTCTCTCTCTCTCTCTGGGTTTAGAAAGCAATGGAAATTTTCAGTCAAGTGTAAAGAACAGCAGAACTGTGCCTATATCTCTGTACTTGGTAGTTAAGTCCTAAAACATTTGGTGAGACTTACGCCCAGAGAAGTGTGTAGGATGGTTTCCTAACATAAAGAAGAGCAACTCTTTTAAAAAAGAAAGATATACATTTTCATATTTTCACTTAACTGAATATCCTAGACATTGATAAATTGCTTTCTGGTGATAGAAATGTTTAAATGTCTGAAGTTTTTCCATGTTCGTGAATACATTTTTCCATGTTCTTTATATTGTACACACATCAAACAATTAATGACAGGTATAATACTTGTGATTTTTCATTAAAAAGGATTAGATTTTTGTGGTCCAAAATAATACTAACAATGTATTTTTAGACATGTAATATGTGGTAATATGTAAGTAATCACAATATAGGTTTAAGATGGCAGGATGCATTGAATACTCAGGGTCTGGAAACACTTTGAAATAATGTTTTCAGTTCTACGTGTTTTGATGATGGAATTTCTGGTTCATGGAATATTGTATAAATATTCATCTGGAATATCTGGTTATTATCAGTGGCACAATGTTAAGCTCTCTGGTTGTTGGCATGTATATAACTGTCAGACTGTGCTTGAATATATGCTCAGTGGCTATAGCCATATCTGGAAAGAGCTACATACATTTCTCTCTTTTGTGCTGTCACGTTGGAACCAACTTCTAGTGACCCAAAGGGGCTTTCAAGGTAAGTGAGATATGTAAGGAGCGGCTTTATCAATTCCACATCCCCAGTGAGTTACATGGCTGAGTTGGGATTCCAACCGAGGTCTCCTGAGTCTTAATTTGTCATTGTATCCATTACACCATGCTGGGAGTCTAACTTAGAGATATATGTGTGTTCTTTTTCTCTCTCATTCTGGCAAGCTATAGTGAATCAAAACTGTAATAAAATGCATGTGTTTTTAAATTTTTAATTATAATTTTTTAAAAAATTAAACTTTCTTTTGCATAGGATATGAAACATAAAGATATGTTCCAGAAATTTAATAGAAGACTTCCTAAAATATTTCAAAGGTATGCATTAGAAGTACAGTTTCTTACCCTTTTCAGCATTTTCTACCAGAGGACTGGAAAGTGATTGATAATTTCACATCTAAGATGTAATTTCTTTGGGCTAAATCTGACGGTTACTTGCAAATAAAGTAAACCCACTGAATCAGTGAGACTCATATAAGTGTGACTTAGCAAGTTTCATTCATTCAATGAGTCTACACTAGGTGGGAATAAGAAATGGCTTTAACCTTCTGGGTTAAAGGGACGTGGTGGTGCTGTGGGCTAAACCGCAGAAGCCTGTGCCGCAGGGTCAGAAGACCAGCGGTCATAAGATCAAATCCACGCGACGGAGTGAGCTCCCGTCACTTTCTCCCAGCTCCTCGCCAGCCTAGTGGTTCGAAAGCATGCAAATGTGAGTAGATAAATAGGGACCACCTTGGTGGGAAAGTAACAGCGTTCTGTGTCGAAGTCGCACTGGCCATGTGACCACGGAAGATTGTCTTCGGACAAAATGCTGGCTCTGTGGCTTGGAAACGGGGATGAGCACCGCCCCCTAGAGTTGAACACAACTGGACAAAAGATTGTCAAGGGGAACCTTTACCTTTTACCTTAACCTTCTGATAATACGTTTTGTCATAATGCACAATGGTTGTTTCTTAAGTCTCCATTCACTTGTTTTCCTCTGCTCCACTGACTCCCTCCTCTCACATACTATCAGTGATGCTACTACCCAATCACTGGCAAAATTAAGCTTTATCATTGATTACTTCAGCCACGTTAAACTGTAAAACTATTTTCTGTCAGGAATCAGCATCTCATGATGCCAAATGCCAGGGACAACCAAGAACCACCTGCTTTAAATCCAGCATTTTAATCCCTATAAATACAGTACATGGTACTGGTTTGCTGCTCAAAAGTCAGCACCACATAGGGAAGACCCATTTAAATAAAGCCAATGGTACAGATGTCAACATGTTGGTGCCAGATTTGAGGTGCAAGTTGCTCCAATGAGGTATGTATGCTTGAAGACGAGGAGGGTTACCAGTATCTGCTGGATTTGGACAGCACGAATGTGGCCTGCTATTTGTATTGGGTGGAAAAAACTGGCCTGCTCCAAACCTGCTGAAGTTGCCCACCTCATTGTGCCTGATCTTGCTGTCATGGGACAGTGGGAGCCTTCTCTCTTCAGGCAAGAAACAAGGTCCTACTCTCTTAATTTTACCACCATGTAATTGTTGCTGAACACCCCTCCCTTGGAGGCAGCAGTGTCTCTTTACCCTTCCCTGTACCCTACTTCTGAGGAAGGAAGGAAGGAAGGAAGGAACCAGTCACTGAGGAAGGAAGGAAGGAAGGAAGGAAGGAAGGAAGGAAGGAAGGAAGGAAGGAAGGAAGGAAGGAAGGAGGTAGGATGGCACAACAAGGTAAGTGCGACAAGTAAGAGCCATCTATTTTTATACTGCTACTGAGTTGTCCTACTGCAGCCAAGGCAGTTGAAAGGGTTGTGCAAAGTAAACTTCTCCACTGTGGTAGGCAGTTTCTCTTTGATCATTTAAGATACCTGGAAGAAATGTCTTTAGCATACTTTAAAATAGGTATTTTTGTACATAATTTCATACATTTTATTGGTCTTATCTTTCCTCATAATGCCTGCTTCTTTACATAAATTGAGCCACACAACAGGAAAGATTTTGCTTGGCCATCATAAAGAAAGGATGAAAGACCACGTGTTTTTTGGGAATATCATTTCCCAGGTGCTATCTTGGTGCTATAAGCTGTGCACATAGTACTACAGTGATATCTACTGGTAAGAAAACAAGAATGTACAACTTAGTTACATTCTACATGTTACAGGGACAGAAATTGGAATATTTTTCTTTTAAAAATAAAACAATTAAATGTCTGAAGTTTTTCCATGTTCGTGAATACATTTTTCCATGTTCTTTATATTGTACACACATCAAACAATTAATGACAGGTATAATACTTGTGATTTTTCATTAAAAAGGATTAGATTTTTGTGGTCCAAAATAATACTAACAATGTATTTTTAGACATGTAATATGTGGTAATATGTAAGTAATCACAATATAGGTTTAAGATGGCAGGATGCATTGAATACTCAGGGTCTGGAAACACTTTGAAATAATGTTTTCAGTTCTACGTGTTTTGATGATGGAATTTCTGGTTCATGGAATATTGTATAAATATTCATCTGGAATATCTGGTTATTATCAGTGGCACAATGTTAAGCTCTCTGGTTGTTGGCATGTATATAACTGTCAGACTGTGCTTGAATATATGCTCAGTGGCTATAGCCATATCTGGAAAGAGCTACATACATTTCTCTCTTTTGTGCTGTCACGTTGGAACCAACTTCTAGTGACCCAAAGGGGCTTTCAAGGTAAGTGAGATATGTAAGGAGCGGCTTTATCAATTCCACATCCCCAGTGAGTTACATGGCTGAGTTGGGATTCCAACCGAGGTCTCCTGAGTCTTAATTCGTCATTGTATCCATTACACCATGCTGGGAGTCTAACTTAGAGATATATGTGTGTTCTTTTTCTCTCTCATTCTGGCAAGCTATAGTGAATCAAAACTGTAATAAAATGCATGTGTTTTTAAATTTTTAATTATAATTTTTTAAAAAATTAAACTTTCTTTTGCATAGGATATGAAACATAAAGATATGTTCCAGAAATTTAATAGAAGACTTCCTAAAATATTTCAAAGGTATGCATTAGAAGTACAGTTTCTTACCCTTTTCAGCATTTTCTACCAGAGGACTGGAAAGTGATTGATAATTTCACATCTAAGATGTAATTTCTTTGGGCTAAATCTGACGGTTACTTGCAAATAAAGTAAACCCACTGAATCAGTGAGACTCATATAAGTGTGACTTAGCAAGTTTCATTCATTCAATGAGTCTACACTAGGTGGGAATAAGAAATGGCTTTAACCTTCTGGGTTAAAGGGACGTGGTGGTGCTGTGGGCTAAACCGCAGAAGCCTGTGCCGCAGGGTCAGAAGACCAGCGGTCATAAGATCAAATCCACGCGACGGAGTGAGCTCCCGTCACTTTCTCCCAGCTCCTCGCCAGCCTAGTGGTTCGAAAGCATGCAAATGTGAGTAGATAAATAGGGACCACCTTGGTGGGAAAGTAACAGCGTTCCGTGTCTAAGTCGCACTGGCCATGTGACCACGGAAGA